CATGCCAAATAAATATGCAATCTCTCACGCTAAGAGTTGAAATAATCACTGACTCTACGAGCCCATGCTAATTACCCCATCAAGCATCATGCCTCTATTCAAGGACGATAAAATTAAAACACGCCGATTGACATGCCATGCCAAGCATGAAATTATTATTTCACACCCAACCACGCTACAAGATTAAGTGGGCCCAAGCCACACAAATGCCCGGAGCTTGCTTGAGTGAGTTGTGGTATGGATGGTAACAAGTTTCATGAGGCCCATTGATGAGCCAAGAAATGGAAGTTTTGGGCTGCTTGGGAGCCCCAAAACTCAAGTCCATTTCTTGAGCCCAAACACATGGGCTAGCATGAGAGAGAGAGAGAACATAACCCAATGCCTTAGAAAGAATACAATAGCTTGTTTAGAAAACCTTATGTTAATTAGAGCACCCAAACACTATGTCAAAAACACTTCCAGCAGCTTGACGAAAACCCATTAGATGCTGGAGATAACACGTTGATAACCCAACACTGTACATACAAGCCCAGCCCAAAGCCTTATAAAAAATTTGGCATCGTGCTCCATCCTTGCTAGGATTCCAAGACGGTCAAACAAGGAACCATGGCAGGAACCAGTGGAAATCTATGTGTGAGAGACGAATACCCGTCGGACAAAGAACTCCTCCCATCTCTTTTTCCTCTGCAAGCTCCATCTTGAAAACCATGAGAGAAAGCAGGTGGCGCCTCCCCCCTTATGGGAAGGTCCAGCTACGTCAAACTATTGGAACCACAAAGGGTTCCTTAACCATGCTCCTTGGATAGGAGAATTTCACCAAATTAGATCAGGTAGGAAGAAACGATGAAAAGGGAAAGGAAAAGTTAGATGAAATTAGGGTTCTTCAAGCCTATAAAAGAGAGCCTCATCTACCCAGAAAACCATCCACAGCCTAACCCATCTAGAGCTTGACCAAGCTTTGTCAAGAAACTAGAAATTCAATCCACATCCAAAGAGCAAGCTTCCTCTATTGCTTCCAAAACCCAGCAATTTCGAGCCCTATTCCTCCATGCTTCTTCTACCTAGCAAAATAACCCATCCAAGGCTTGACCACGCTTTGTCAAACAAATTGGGAATTTTACTCAAGCCACCCAATTCTCTCCTTCGTTTGTTTTCCTCTTCCCTTAGGAAAGAAATCTGTCTAATCTTCCTCTGTTCCACTTTAACCCTTTGTTCACTGTAAGAAACTCACGCTTATCTCTCTCTGTTCATGCTAAACTCATGATGGTTTTGCTCCCATGCCATAGGCTCCTTAGGCTAAGCCGTTAATCGATTTATCATGCTTATTTGGTGTTAGTGAGATGAACCTAAGAGTGTTTTTCTAAAGTCTCATCAGATTTTATAAAAACCCTTTTGGGAGCTTGGTTTCGAACTTAGGCTTTTGGGGAATTTTTGTTCGTTGTCTTCTTACGGCAGCCCAAGCCCATTCGTCAGGCTGCTAGAACAAAAACACCCCTACAAAAGTTAAAGTGGACTTTGTAGAGTTTGACACTTTTTGCCCTCCGCCATTTCATATTGTTTGGATGTTTGATTGATTAATGTTTTCAAATAGTTCATCATTTCTTGCCTATAATTATATTTTTAATGTTTGTAATTTGAATTATCTAGTGGAAAAAAAAAATGAAGTGAAAAAAATTCAAATTAAATGGATTGGTTCTTGGGCCCGAGTATGGCAAGAGCATGAGCACGGGCACGGCACGAGTCCGGCCCCACCCGTTTCAATATGGACATGGGCTTTGGGCCGGGCCGGGATCAATGATTTTACTAAATGGGGCGGCACGACACGGCCCGATAAATTAAATAGGCCTGCCCGGCCAGACACGAAAATGTTAAAAGCACGAGTTTAAATGGGATAGGCCGGCCCGTTTGACACCTCTACTTAGGTTTAAACTTACTTTTCGTCCACTCACATCCTTTATGGTTTTGCGCCCCTTTATGGTTTTAGAAACTCCTTCTCCGCATGACCGTCACCATCTTAGGATTATTTTTGTGACTTTTCTACTGTTTTCGACTTGTAAACTAACGATTTTTTTTCTTGACTTTCTACTGTTTTCGACTTATAAACTATGTGTGCTTTATTTTTTGTGTGCCGGCAATTGGGTACTTCAATTGTGATTTTATTGTAGATGTAAATTTTGGGAATGTTCGTTTTACAGGGGAGACTCTGCCGAAATTTTGGCATAAGTCTTCACCCTTTTATGCTTTTGTAGGGGGAAAAAGGGTTTGTTTTAGTAAATTGGCCCGGTATCCTTTAGGTGTTGGAAGGAAAGTAGGATTTGATACAGATTCCAAGGGGAATTCGGGTCGGGTCCTATCATTAAAACTCTTGTCCCTTGGATTATGGGAGCATGTTTTGTGCGGGTGGCTAGTTCCCCCCCATCTTCCGCCTGGACCTTTGGTATGTGTTGTTACCAGTTACTCATTCTCAATGATTGCATATTTGCGATGGTGTTGCAGCAGGTGGTCTTTGGGTGGCGCTGCTGTGGTTTATGCTCATATTTAGGGTTTTCTGTTTTTTCAGTTTGAGTTTTTGTTTTTGGGCCTTCACTTTGTCTATTATGTACTTTACTGTTTGGCCCTTTGTTTGTTTTGCTAGTGTTCAGTTTTTCTTTAGCTTGTGGTCAGCGGCAGATCCATGAATTTTTCAGCGGAGGTGCAATTTTTAAAAGCTAAGAGCTCAAAAAAAAAAAAAAAAAAAAGGACAACTAAACATCCTTATCATTTAAACAATACTAATGTTATTCATAATTAATTAAAAAAATAACATTACAATTAACCTACAATTGTTGCCGACGAGGTTTCATATAATGAAAACGTCGCATTATATTTGCATTACTAATGCAAGAAAAGACATCTTTCTCAATGTAAACAACCAAGCTATCACTCAATCATTGATTCCCCATTTTGTTACACAATGGTGTTTTCACAATATTCATAGCTGAAAAAGCTCTCTCAACCGAAGCAGTTGCAACGGGTAAAACTAAAGCCAATGTAAGAAGTAAATACACATAATTATATATTCTATTGCTTCCTGTATTCATTAATTTTTCTGCCAAAATCAGTATTTCTGTTCAATGATGAAAACTCTGTGCTGCTCTGCATATCAACAATATAAAGCCCAAGTTTATCTTCAAGCTTCATGAGGTCTAGGTCATTAAATTATTGAGGGTAAAATTTAGCAAAACGAAGTATTTTTTGTTTGTCAAAAGCTGCAAAATTATAAGCCGAACTCAAACATGCCATACAATGAAGCAATTTAGTACTTACCTTAGTGAAGCGATTATTCAATTCCACTAGTTGCTTATCAATGATAGTAAGAAATAGGTCCACACGATAATAATGGCGGTTCGTGATATTCTGAGCTTTACGTCTTGATCTCCCTTGTTGTACAAATAAATCATCCATGTTAGGAATGTCAATATCATTTTTGCCACAAAACATTGATACTTGGCCAAAAAGCAAATCATCAAAGTCATCATCCCTCACGGATTGTAGCTTTTGCTTACATCTTTGGACAAACATCATCGCATTCACAATATCTTGATCTTTCTTTTGTAATGCCTTCGACAAATTATTTGTGATTCCTAATATAAATCTCATCAAATATAAGTGAAACACAAAGTCAAAAGTTCGTATTTCTTTCAACAACCTATTTGCTTCACCTAAATTATCTTGGTTGACATCATCAACAATTCATTCAAGCACCTTCACCACCGGATGAAACATAGTATTAATACTAAGTATAGTATCATAATGTGAGTTCCAACGTGTATCACAAGGACGTTTGAGAGTAGTCTCTTGATTTAACCCTCGCCCCGTTTCAAGATCATCAATTTCAAGAGCTTTCATAATATCTTTTTGTTGTTGCTCTCTAAGTGCATCACGACGCTTACACGATGCTCTAATAATATTAACGACACTACTAGCCATTGTGAAGAAAGTAGCAATGTTTTCATTTCCCTTTGCAATAGCTACAAGAGCTAGTTGTAGTTGATATGCAAAACAATGGACATAATATGCTTGAGGATATTCTCTCAAAATCTGTGTTTTAAGACCATTGAGCTCACCTCTCATATTACTAGCGCCATCATACCCCTGTCCTCGTAGCTTGGACATGCTCAAATTTGTTGAAGAAATCAACTGCTCAATTGCCTCTTTCAATTTGCTACTAGTCGTATCAGAGACATATTAGACACCTACAAACCTTTCAATTACTTGCCCTTTTTTGTTCACATAATGCAACACCACCGCCATTTGCTCTCTTATAGAAACATCACGTGATTCATCTACCAATATAGAAAAGAATGCATCGTCCATATCACTAATAATTGCATCAATGGTTTCAGCGGCACAAGATTTGACAAGTTCTTTTTGAATGTTAGGAGCAATATACTTGAGATTCCTTGGAGCGTTCTCAAACACAACGGCACGAACTTTCTCATCATGATTGGCAAGAAATTGCAAAAGCTCCACATAATTACCCTTATTGCTAGATGTTTCGCTCTCATCATGGCCACTAAAAGGAAGACCTTGTCGCAATAAATATCTAGTGCAATCAAATGCGACAGTTAATAGAATGCGATAATTAACACGAGTTTGGTCTGTCTGCTTGATCACAATGGTTTCAACGTGTTGCTTTTGATTCATTAAATCTGTACAATGTTATGTAGCTTTATTGTGAAGACTTCCAACTTGTCCAATATGGTCCCTAAAATTCTCGGGTCCCTTCCTCAAATTTTTAAACCCTTTCTCAGTAAAGACATCACTTCCAGCCTTTCCTTGTTTATCAAAGTCGCATTTAAAAAGATAACAATGAAGACAAAATGCAGCATCTTTCTCTTTACTATACTCCAAACAAACAAATGAATCAAACCATTTCACAAGAAAACGTCAATTACTCTCCCCCATAAGTGTTTGAGGCATGTCGTTTTGGCTTTTAGGCTGACAAGGACCCCTTTGCAGATAGGCTCTTCAGATTTGTTCTCGTTACTTGTTTGTGCCTAATAAATCACGGTCATAAACTGACCGAAGGGACCTCCGCTCGGCCTTAGCACCTACTCATGAACTGAAACAGCCACGTTTCGTTAGGCATTTCGCCTTCTTGAAAACAAAAGGAAAGCTGCGAAGGCAGAATCCTCTCGGCCTCGCGACCGCGGTATTATAGGCCGAAGCCGAAGGCCGTAAGAGACACGGTTGAAGATACTGTGGTTAAATCGCCACGTGGCATCAGGGTCCCACGCCCCATTTAATGAAGTAATGCCTCTGACTATCGCAGCAAACCCACTAGTCGCAAGAAGTATTTAATGCACGAGGGAATAAGGGAAGTGACTGAAGTCAGGATTTGGTGATGGAGATCAGAGTGGTTGGGCGCAAACATTCTTACAATTATTCTTACAACTTAAGGTTAGATCACCAACCACCAGACCAGGGCATTAAATGCGCTCCCACGGCCAAGGGGGTAGAACCCACGATTAGGGCGGTGGCCGAGATTTACTGGGATTTATGAGGGTCACACCAACGTGCTTCACGATCCCAAATGCCGATTTGACTACCCACTTACCCCGATGAGGCTCCACCACGCAGATCTTTTCAGCCTCGATTGTCCCTCCAGGACTCCCCCTATAAATACTAAGCTCAAGACTACATTCAAAGGGTTCAAACACCAAACCAAAAGCCTCCCACGGAGCAAATTATATTTTCCTGTAATGCACTTTCAATACCTTTATTTGCTTTCCTAGGAGTAGTGGTAGATTGTAAGGAAAATCCATTCATCAATATATCATACGACCCTTGATTTTCAAGGCGCCAGAGCACCGGCCAGAAACCCGCCACCAACACCACCACTAAACGGCCTTGTAGCTTAGGCTGTGAACCTGACGGCTGAGATCAGTTCCTCTCTCGGCCACAATCGTTTGATTAGGAGTCGAACTCAAAACAGGTGCATCATTTAACCATCTTCTACCCAAACCTCATCACCATCTCGACGCACGGTAGACCGTGCTGGTACGCCCGCGCACAACCGCACCGCATTCAAAAGAAGGACGTCACGTGTTAACGCACATCCCCTCAGCCCGGAGCACGAGGCCGTGAGATTTGCGCAGCCAACATTACTACTTGTTTTTCTTATGAAATATCTATATACGACTAGATAGAAAATTGAAATAATCGACAACCTTTCTATAATCAAACCAAAAAACTGAGACAAATATAGATGAACATTAAAAAAATGAAAATCCAAAAATTTCAACTTTTCAATGCTGTTTTGGAAGCCTAAACGACCTCAAAAGCCCAAAATCCACCATATGTCACAGCGAAACTATGAGTTTGACTCGTTGCATCGTTCCTTTTTTAGAAACGTATCGTACACCCCAATCGGAGTTCGGAAGCTAAATCTGTAAATTGCAACTGCGTCCCTTTTCCATTCAACATAAGATGTGTCATGTCTGATCTATGGTTGCTGATGTACATTTTTTGTATATTTTTTATGCTGTATTTGTGATTGACATGATAAAATTCATAGCTGCACTCAAATTGAGTTTGAAAATACACAAGTAAAGGGAAAAGGGAAGAACAAACAAGATTATAATGCTTGGACTGTGGAAGAGTATAGAATGTTGTTGCAACTCATGGTTGATGCTGCAAGCCGTGGATGGCGTGATGCTAGTGGAATTCTAAGCAAGGTAACTGTAGAAACCAAAATACTCCCCAAGATTAATAAAAAACTTAGGTGTCACAAAACCTATTCTCAATACCAGAGTCAGTTGAAGTACTGGCTTTGACAGCCGATCCAATTGCTTCGATGGGGATAAAATGAAATATATTGTCTACATAAAAGGCCAATGTGTAAACATATCCACATTCAAAGTCTAGAACAAAAGCCATACAAATCTTATGAAAGTTTATTAAAAAATTATACAAAAGTCTTCTGAAAGTCTATCAGGTTCTATACGAATTCTAAAGTTCCATCAAGTTCTATGAAAGCTGGCACTTAAACAAAATCTTTTTAAATGCTCTAGAATTCTAATTGAATACACCCCCCCTAAGCCTTTTTGGTTTTTTAGAACAAAGATCTTGTTTATTTTTTCTTTATTTTTGTAATAAAGAAAAAATCGAAGAGTGATTTTTATCTTGTTAACAAACCAAGCATCTCTGACCCAAAAAGAAAAAACTGAACCAAGCATCAAGAGAAATCCAAAAGATCAAAGAAACTGCCAAAAGATAAAATAAAGGAAACTTGATTGAATAAATAATTAAAGGGTATTTTAAGAAGGTTAATTTACACCAATTCCCTTTGAAACTACGGTCAAATCTTATTTTGCCCCCCTAAACTTAAAGTGGCCTACTTACTCCGCTTGACCGTGGTTTGGTGGCCCACTTTGCCCTCTGCCTTCAACTCCATCCAAAACTCTGTTACAACTAATGACGTGGCAAGAGAGTTTATGTAATTTTGTACCCATGGTACATCATTCACCAATTGAGGGATGACGTGTCAATTGGAGTCCAACTCCACATAGATTAAAATATAATTAAATATTTTAATGATTAAAACTAATTTAAAAATTAAAAAAAATTAAAATTTTAGAACTAAAACAAATAGGGAAATAGCTTAAAATGCCACCCTTTTCATAATTTTAACTAAAAATACCACCCCTTCCTAATTTTTTTACAACTACCACATATAAATACATCTTTATTGTGGATTGATTGTACCCATATCAGTTTTTCAGAAATTGGCTTCTCTCTCAACTCTCTTGGCTCTATCTCTTTGGCCTGTCTCTCTCCCTTGTGTACCTCTCTCTCTCCGACGCAATCGTCTTTCTCCCTTAGCGGTGGCTGTTCATCCAAGCGTAACTCCACCGTTGGCATCCACGAGGTACTGTTCATATACCTTTTCTTTGAAATTTGGGGTTTTTGTGAATTTGGTTTATGGTGTATGGATTTGTAAGAAATTGGTTTAGGGTTTTAGTGTTTAGGGGTTGCTCAGGAATTGGGTTTGGGTTTATGGGTTTCTATGGACTGGGTAATAACTCACACCCACTCTCACTTGCTCGTAGGCACTGTTCACAGAAATCAAACTCTTCATTTTGTCACAGAACGTTTAGGCTTCGTTCACCTTTGTCTGGGTAAGTCCCAACTATCTATATTATTTGATGAGATTTTAAGCTCTGGGCTCTGTGACTTCTACAATAATTAATTCCACAATATTCTGATTTTACTTATTCAAATCAAAGCAAAGGAAGGGACATTGTTTATGGATGGGTAATTGTCAAAAACGACTTCTGGAATCTACATGCTTATAATCAAATTTTGCAGATTGTCAATGGTCCACAGTCCGCATTTCAAGCCCTTTTCAGAATTCGATCATCTGGCCAGTTGATTTAGTTCTCTTATGAAAATTTATTTGAAGTCTTATACATAGTTTTTGCTCTATTTTTTTTTTTGAATTATTCGTTAAAGTTTATTCGTTAAAGTTTATTTATTTATTTATTTATAATTTTAGAATTGATGAGATATCTGGTTTGGGCTTCAGATTACCCTAATTTATTGTTCTTTATTGTGATTGTGATTTTAGCTAAGGATTGGGTGATGTGTTTTTGTTTTGGGTCATTTGATATGGTTTTGAGATTGGTTTCATATCTATGATTTTGGTTAGTGTTAAAGTAAATGAATGGGTATTTCATTCCTGCGGTTTTTCTGGAGGTACACCATTGTATCATGCTTATTTTCTCTTCTGATGATATGGTTATGTAATGTATTTGTTTGGTCAGGCTAGTTTGATGAGTGCATGAGCTGTGTTGAAAAGTGGCAAAAAAAAAACTTAAAACGCCACAATTTTACAGAGCAAAATATGTTTTTAGATATAAAAAATGCTCGTTTGAATACAATAGTGGGGTAATAGGCTCTTTGAATACAATGATATAATAATAGGCTCTTGATAAGTGTTGAGTTTGTTTTGGTTTTTTTATTATTTTTAAAATGTGTGCTTAATTATGAATTTGAATGCAATATTTTTGAACAATTGATTTATAATAGAAAAATGACATGCATAGATTCTGAACAACCACTCTTTGATCATAGGATATTGGTATTGCTAGCAGCTAGTTATTAGTATTTGT